CCCTAGGAGCCGCACAGCCCCCCGCCTGAGGGTAGCACAGACCCCCTTTAAAAGCTGCACAACCCCCTGAGAGCTGTACAAACCCCCCAGGAGAAGCCTTCCCTTTACAAAGGATATGGAACCAATTTCCTAAGACTCTCTAACTCCCAGGATAACTAGATTTAGGTCTGGATTTCTGTACAATTTTGGGAATCCGTTTGGGACTAATAGAAGGGGGTCTGTCCATCTAACTCTAGGCTAATTTTGCCATCACTGGTGGTGTTTCTAACCCTGGCAATTTTCCCCACTAACAGTTTCCACCTCTTTTATTTATTCTACGGTAGCAATCCCATCTATCTCCTCTTAGTTAATCCTGCCTTTAAATGGTCCACCCACATTTAAATATTCTGGCTTTCTCTGCACCTCCTGTCTTCTCTCCTGGGTTTCCTTTCTTATCTGTCCTTTTCTGCTTATTTTGTCCCTGTCTGACCTTAAGGTTGTCTACTGCCCTGACAGGTTTTGTTAGTCTCCTCTAGCTACCCCAACTGGTTTAAGAGGGTAGTGGCTTTGTAAATCTTGCGGTCTAATCCCAGGTCTCCCAGCAAGGGCAACAAAGGAGTCCTAAGATTAAAAGAAGCAGACTTCATCCGCTTGGAGTGCAGAGCAGTCGTGAAGGGTTCTATATGTGAATGCATCCATTCTGGTATCTTAGTAAGTCTAGTTATGCAACCTATCTCGCCTAACCTAGTAATACTCTTTCCCATTGTTCTCCATAATGAGGTATTTTCCAGGTCACCAGGATTAGTGCATACTTGGACTATCCTATCTCTAAGGAGGTCTAATATGAGGCAAAAAATTCACAGTAAACTCTCTTGGGATTTGCTCATGGCCTGGCGCAGTTGTGGATCGTGGGTTAACTCTCCCATACCACTGCTTCTTTGCTTGACAAAAGAACACTGTAACATAGTAGGTAAGTTTGAATAAAGACACCGGTCCATCCAGTTCAACATGTGTGTCTGTATATACTTGGCTTTAATACATCCCATATCCTTGTATATTGTATGAAATAAGAAACTCCTCTAAAGGTTTCTTGACTTGATCAATGCTATCAGCGGATACTACTGACTGTGGATGGGAGTTTTACATTTTTCACTACTCCGAGTAAGAAAAAAACAAAAAACCTTGTGCAGTCTAAGATTAAACCACCTCTCTTCTAACCTCATGTTGTGTCCCCACTAATTTTGAAAATTGGAATAAGGCCCCCCCCTTAAGCGTCTCTTTTCTAAGGAGAACAATTTTAATCTCTGGAGGCAATCTTCATAGCTCAGGCTTTCCATCCCCTTTATCAATTTTGTAGCCATTCTCTGAGCTCTCGAGTTCGTAGATATCTTTTTTGGTCACCAAAGGGTTGGTGACCAAAACTGGAAATCATAGGGGATTCTATTATTAGGCAAACAGACAGGGTAATCAGTCACAAAGAATGTGATCGCTGAACAGTAGGTTTACCGGGCGCTCAGGTTCGGCACATTTCGCATCGGATGGACAGATTATTGGGTGGGTCTGGGGAAGACCCAACTGTCATGGTACATGTTGGTACCAATGACAGTCAGGGGAAGATGGAGTGTCCTGAAGAAAGATTTCAGGGACTTGGTTGAGACTTTTGATGACCGGGGTGTTAAACACCCTTCCTGTCCAGGCCATTTTTCAATATTCAGCACTGTTGTACTTTGACAATTATTCAGCCATGCAGCAGCGTACCAAAATTAATTTTTTATATAATTGTTTTGGGACAGATAGAGCTTTCTTTTGATGGTATTTAATCACCACTGGGTTTTTATTTTTTTTATTTCAATAAATTTTTATTAGCATATAGAGATTCAGAAAGTACAAACATTGCAGGCTCTACCAGAACAGATGGTAGGACACACGCCTCAGACATTCAATGCAATTAACATAAGATTATTACTAAGATTGAATACATTATGAATATTCCAGCGTACAATTGTGGTAGAGTGCGTCAGAGTGTTATCTCCCATCAGCTGGCAGAGACATGGTTCAGGCCAACGGGACCGACCAATAGTAATCAGGATTTTTACGGAAAGTTAGCGTGAAATTAGAAGTATAGCGGTAGATTGTAGCTTTAGAAGGAGCTGCTATACAGCCCTAGCAGCAGTAGAAGGATAAGAAAAGAGAGGGGGGAAAGAGAGTGTGGGAGGTTGGGAGGAGAGGGGAGGTTGGGGGAAGTGCACATCTAGGTAGGGTTATGTGGCCGGCAGTGATGAGAGCTAGGGCACCTTTTCATACGTCTAATAATGTTCTATCAAAATTCGGTGAGAAGAAATGTGCGACCCATGGTTCCCAAGTTCTGTCAAATTTGGAGAAATTGCCAAGTAATTTCGCAGTCAGCTTCTCGTTAATTAGGATCCAGTGGATTCTATTTTTAACTGCCGCGATGCTCAGTGTATTGGAGAGCCAAGCTTTGGCAATAACCTGTTTAGTGGCAGTAAGGACATGAGTGAGAAGTTTGAATTCATACTTGGATATGTCGGGCGGTCGAACATTCAGCAGTGCTTCGCTCGGGGTCAATTGTATGTTCCTCTTGGTGAGGGTGGAAAGCATTGTGTTCACCTGAGACCAGAGCCTCTGGGCGATCGGGCAATTCCACCAAATATGTAGGAAATCCCCCCGCGTTGCACAGCCTCGGAAGCAACTTGGCGAGCTGCCAGGTGTCACATGGGCCATGCGACTCGGCACCATGTACCACCTGTACAGGACCTTATAGTTAGCCTCTACTGCTGTCGCATTACGGGAGCAAGAGGCCGTGGTATCCCATATCTGCTGCCACGGTATTTCATCCATTTCTAGTCCCAGGTCAGCAGCCCAACTATGCATGTATTTATGGGCCGATGGGGCGCCAACCGAGCGGAGATGTGCGTATATTAGGGAGATCAGGCCCGGTGAGTGGGGATCATCTCTGCAACATCTCTCAAACTGTGTTAACAAGGGGCATCCCACCGGGAAGCGGGTCGTGTTGGTAATGAAGTGCTTCACCTGTAAGTATCGGAAGGTCTCGCTTGGCGGTAGGTGTTCTGCATCGCGTAATTGGGGGAAGGTTTTGAAGCCTGTGGGGGTGATGAGCTTATGGATCTGTGTAATGCCTGCTGTGACCCAGTGTCGATAGGCCGGAGCCGACTCCATCCCCGGTATAAATGAGGGGTTATATAGAAAGGAGAGGAGGGGTCTATGGGACGACATCAGTCCTCCAGAGTATTTAACCCCATCCCAAACCTTGAGAGAATGCAGGGTGATGGGGTTAGACAATGACTTTCTATCTGCAGGCGTCAACCAGAGAAGGTTCTGTATTTGGAGAGGGCTGCAATCTATCGCTTCCAGCGCCACCCACAGGGGTGTCTCTGTGGACGCATGCCATTTCGTTAGCTGTGAAATTTGGGCTGCCTGGTAATATTTGGTTATATTGGG